CTCCCACATTTCCCTTGAACCTAGGAAGTTTAAAGTTAACTGCAGATTCTTCTTCTTCTTCTTCTTCTTCTTCTTCTTTTTTCCTTCAGGAGCCAAAACTCACAAAGGATATAGAAGGGTGAGAAATAAATTATATTTATTGACATTACAGCTAATCTTAAGTGTACACTTGATACATGCCAAAGACTAAAAGTGCTAAATCATGTATATACTTTCAGGGCTGTCATTCTTTCTGCTAAAGAAAGAACAAGGTTTTGTGAGGTGATAGAGCTGGATTCTAAACCCAGATGAATGAGTGTCAGTCTCACCTTTCAGGTGTGTGGTATTCCCTAGAAGTGACTCTTGGAGGAAAGAGTTAAACATGTCTCCCACTTTAAATTTACAATACACAAAAGGTGAACAAATGCAGCAGTGGTTCTCACTAGACACTACGTTGAAAATGAGATCTACAACTAGTGGGTGGGGACAGGAGGGAAAATGGGAGAGAGCAAGGGAAGGAGGGACATTGTCCCAAAAGACGTACTCTTTACCTGACCTGTATCACTGTAACTCCTCTGTACATCACCTTTCTAATAATAATAGTAGTAATATCTGCAAAAAATTCACATCACAGCATAGCCTATACATAAAGTATATCTGGAGTTTGCTACTCAAGGAAAAATAGAATTTAAGGTCTTGGAGAAGAGGAAGAAAGGTTATTCACCCTTCAAGTCTGAAGGTTGTGTATGGTCAAGCCTTTTTAAAAAAAAAAATGGTTGAAGAAATTCTGATACAGCAAGGAAATAGTATGAGTGATAATACTTTGGAAACATGATTGATTTTTATACTGCCTCGACAAAGTCATCCTGTGCACACAGCCTGACTTATCTATTGATTTGAGCTAGAGCTGAGTAAGTGAGCTGGATGTAAAATTCCCTAATTACTCACCAAAAGTCAGTCAGACCTTCAAAGAACCTTTCTTCTATAGACTTTCTCCTTTCTCCTCTCTCCCTTCCCCCTTTCTCTGCCCTGTCTTCTCTTTCTTTCCCCTCTCCTCTCCTGCTTTCCTTTCCTGATTTGCAAGATAATAAATCTGAAAGAACTCAAATATAGAGTATATAAACTCTCATGTTACGTAAAAAGACACTAAACCAATTTCTAAAGACAGGAAAAAGTCTTGAATAGCTACCACACCAAAGAAGATACACAAATGAGGGATGTACATAAAAAGATGTCCAGCTGGGCGCCGGTGGCTCACGCCTGTAATCCTAGCTACTCAGGAGGCTGAGATCTGAGGATCGAGATTCAAAGCTAGCTCGGGCAGGAAAGTCTGTGAAACTCTTATCCCCAATAAACCACCAGAAAACTGGAAGTGGTGCTGTAGCTCAAGTGGTAGAGCGCTAGCCTTGAGCTGAAGAGCTGAAGGACAGCTCTCAAGCCCAGAGTTCAGGCCCCATAACTGACAAAAAAAAGAAACAAAAATAACAATAAATAAAAATAAAAAGATGTCCAACAAATTTAGTCATTAGGAAAACATAAAGTAGGGGCTGGGAATGTGGCTTAGTGGTAAAGTGCTTGCCTAGCAATTTTGAAGCTCTGGGTTCATAAACAGGAAAAGCTGGAAGTGATGCTGTGGCTCAGGTGGTAGAGTGCTAGCCTTGAGCTAAAGAAGCTCAGGGATAGTGCCCAGGCCCTGAGTTCAAGCACTAGGACTGGCAAAAAAGAAAAAGAAAGAAAAAAGTAAAATCACAATGAGGTGCATACCCATTTTAGAATGGCTATGAATAAAAACTCTTGGAGAGGATAGGGAACAACTGGAACTCTTATGCATGAAATGGGGGAAATTCTTGGGAATAAAAGCTTGACAATTTCTAATAAATAAATAATAAATAATAATCTAAGACACAAGGTAGCTTAGATTCACCCAAAGAAAGGAAAGTATATGCTGACACAGGCACGTTAAAATGTATGTAACTAGGAAGTGGTGCTGTAGCTCAAGTGGTAGAGCGCTCGCCTTGAGCTGAAGAGCTGAGGGACAGCGCCCAGGCCCAGAGTTCAAGTCCCACGACCGACAAAAAAAAAAAATGTAAAAAAAAAAAAATGTATGTAACTAGTACAATATTCAATATATGTGTATAAAAATGGAATAAAGTATCTTGAGGACCTGGGAGGGACTAGAAGAGATAGGGTTAGAATAAGGAAATCGATCATGATCTATTGTACTTGTAAACTGATTTGTTGTATGTATGTATGAATGTAACCCTTTTGCACAACTAAATAAATACATAATAAAAACATAATAAAAAAGATGCCTTGTACTCACAAACTGACATAGTGAATTGAAAGCCCTTTGTACAACTACTTAATGATAATCAAAACTTTAAATATATAAATGGTTTTATTTATAATATAGCCCCAAATTGAAACCAATTCAAGTATTGTCAACTGGTAAATAAAAAAGCAAATGACAAAATGAAATAGAACAAAATGTTAGGCAGTAATAAGTAGTATCCAATGAATAAGCAATACTACAGGACTAATGGTTTCTACATTATGTTGAAGCATTATATCGAGTAAAGAGCCAGAAACAACAGACTATATAAGAAAAATTTGTGAGGCCCAAAATAAGAAGTAAAGCAATGACTATTTGAATATGCAGACAAGGAGTTCATGACAAGATCATGCTCAAAAAGCCTGAACAGCTAACACACATTAGCTAACATCAGATTACTTACCAAGAGACTTTTCTTAGTCAACCTTTTAATCCTATTTTACCTTCTGAATTCACTGAGACTCTTTCTGCATAGCTTAATGGAAGGATGGAAATTTGGATTCATGAAGCTTTGAAACAACATGTTCAAAATGAAATGCCATTTATTGTATTGGATTCATTTCTGAAAGGAACCGCAGTAATAACCTCCTTCACTTGACCTCAATAGCACCTCAGGTACAGTTGTTTTCTTTGGCTTGTTGTGTCCTATTCCAATAGAACAGGTGAGCCTGTCAGTGTGGTACGTTCCTGTAGTTCCAGTGCTCACTAAGCAAGTTTTAGGCCAGTCTAAAACTTTTACTAGGGGCTAGGAAGGTGGCTCAGTGGTAGAGCACTTGCCTTGCATGCGTGAGGCCCTGGGTTCGATTCCTCAGCACCACATAAGCAAAAAGAAAAAAGCCGGAAGTGGCGCTGTGGCTCAAGTGGTAGAGTGCTAGCCTTGAGCTGAAGAGCTGAGGGACAGTTCCAAGGCCCAGAGTTCAGGCCCCATGACCGGACCCAAAAAATAAAAAATAAATAAAACTTTCACTATACTGAGATCTTTCCTATAAACAAACAAACAAATAAGCAAGCACCTGTGGCTCACCATGTACTCAGGATTTTTAAGGATCAAAGTTTCAAGCTAGCCCAGAAGACAAACCTTTGAGAATCTTACATCCAATAATCAGCAAAAAGTCGTGACTCAAGTGGTAGAATATCAACCATGAGTAAAAAAGCCAGGCAATAGTTCAAGGTCTAGAGTTCAAGTATTGCTGCACATGGGTATCTTTTTGAATCCCTACTTTCAGTTCTTTTAGAGGTATACCACAAAGTGAAATTGTTGGATCAAATATTAATTCTGGCAGTGACACCATTTTAAATGCACAACAGCCAGTGCACAAAGGTTTCTCTATATCCTGTCCAAAATAGCCATTTTAATGGGTATGAAGTGGCATCTCATTTTATTTTATATTTATTTTATTTATTTTTATTTATTTAATTTATTTTCAAACCTGGGGTTTGAACTCAGGGCCTGGGCACTGTCCCTGAGCTTCTTTTTCTCAAGACTAGCACTCTACCACTTGAGCCACAGTGCTACTTCAGGCTTTTGCTGTGTATGTGGTACTGAGGAATCTAACTCAGGGCTTCAAGCATGCTAGGCAAGCACTCTATCATTAATCCATTTCCAGCCCTCTTTCCATTTCCCTTGTCAAGAGTATTTTCATGAACTCTGGTCATTTATTTTCTTTGGAGAAATACCTATTTAGGTTCTTTTGATTTTTTTTTTTTTTTCTGCCAGTCCTGAACTTAGAAACCAGGCCCTGTCCCTGAGTATCTTTGTGCTCAAGGCTAGTGCTCTAGCTTTGAGCCACAGCACCACTTCCGGCTTTTTCTGAGTAATCCATTGGAGTAATCCTTGTGAATCTCTGAGACTTTGTGCCTGGGCTGGCTTAAAACTTCAACCTCGTATCTCAGCCTCTTGAGTAGCTAAGATTACCGGCTGGAGCTACTAGTACTAAGCCTGATCATTTATTTTAAAATAATCAGTTGAGTGTTTTTGTTTGTTTCTGAATTATGTGAGTTATTTGTGTATTTTGGATCATAACATACATGCTTTTCAAATACTTTCTCCAACAGAGTTACTCTGAAACTCTGTTGTTAAAAGTATTTGATACACAAAACTTTTACATTGTTATGTAGATAAGCAAAATTAGATGTAGATAAGTTATCTTTTCTTTCCCTAGGCTTTGTTCTTTTGTTTTCTGTGTTTGGGATATCAATAAATGATTACTAACTCTGAAATGATCGCTAACTCGAGAACAGGACTTTTTCTTCTGAGACTTAATAGTTTTCATTCTTGGATTTAGGTCTTGTACAGATTTTGTCATCTGGTATGACTTTTTTTTTTTTGTACAAGGTAAAAACCCAACCTCTTGTTGCAGGTAGCTATCCCTTGTTCCTAGTACCAACGGTTGCAAGTTAAGTGCTTCCTAAGCAAGGATTGTCATAGTGGATGTTTTCAAAGCTTCTTGTTACCATATCAAAGGTCAGCCAAATAATGATTAAGTGGAATGTCCCTTAAGAGAGATTTTGACCTTCTACCCAGTTGAAGAGTACTGAAGATCTAAGATAATTTACATTCCTCAGGAAGGAAAAAAAAAAAAAGTCACACTGTCTTCTTGGCGGGAGAAGAAAAGCCTGAAAAGTTGTAAGCTATTCTACCAGTCAAAGTACACCTGGCTGGCCTGTTGTTTCCCAGACTTTCTGGACGGCATCAACTGCTGGGGCCTCCTGCCCGCCTGCCTCTCACCAGACCACCAAGGAGGCTGGTGGGGAAAATGTCCTCACCTTCTCTTTGGATTTTGGTGATTTTGTCGATATTTACTGAATTAGACGCAGAAGCTGGAGAAATTGAACATCTCCGACAAAAAAGAGACACTAATCTCCAACAGTAAGTCTATGCATGGGTTGTTTGTGCAGATGGGCTTCTGTTCTATGCCATTGCTTTCTGATAGACAAATTATTGGTACCTATTGGGAGATATTTGTAATTATTGGGAGGTAATCATGGGGAAATGTCTCAAGGAAGATATGAAAAACGAGTAGAGAGAATTGGATTGGGTCCATCACAAGGTGAAGCTGTATATAGTCTATGTATTCGGTGAGAAGCTGTGTTTAAACTTTTAAAACTATAGATGCTAATTCCAGATGCATTCTCTGGTTGGATTGTATAGGCCTCGAATCACTGCGGAGAGAGGAAATTTAGTGTTCCTTACTGGATCTGCCCAAAACATTGAATTTAGAACTGGATCCCTGGGAAAAATTAAAGTAAACGATGACGACCTCAGTGAATGTGTCCATCAGGTAATACAGTGGAAATATGCTGATGTTTTTTCCTATGCCAATTCTGGGGCTTGAAGTCAGGCTAAAGCACTATTCCTGAGCTTCTCTTTATTTTATTTATTTATTTTTTTGGTTCAAGGATAGTGCTCTAGTACTAAATCCCAGCTCTACTTCTGGAGTTTTGGTGGTCCATTGTAAATAAGAGTTTTGTGGACTTTTCTGTCCAGGCTGGCTCTGAACCACAATCCTACCTCATCCTTCTGAGTAGCTAGGATTATAGGCATGAGCTGCCAGTGCCTGGCTTTGATGCTTTATATCTCCATGTTTATGACTTAATTGAACAGCTTGGTGCTCATCTGTACTTTGCATCCTTAGCAGAGAATTAGAAGAGAGACAAGTTCTTCTAAAGGTCAACGACCTGAGTCTCACATGGATAGAGAGAGTAATGCTAGCTGGGTGGCACATGGTACAGGGCAATGTGCCCCAGTGGGACTCAATTCAGTAGGGACATGGAGAAGCCAGGAATCGGAAAGGTGCAGGATTCCCTAGTATACTTAAATCACAGAACAGAACTGGCCAGTTATTCTAGTGTGTTCAGTGTTCAGCATTTGCTATGTCGTGGTTCACATCAGTCTTGGTGTCAGCTCTGTCACACTAACGGCCATGTGCTCTGGTGGTAAATGTCTTCCATTTCCTTTGATTTCATGTGACACTCACTGCACCTGTATTAATGGGCTTTATTATTACTCCATTTTAAAGAGTACTATAAAGCAAATTTAAGCGGTTAAAAAGCTTGACACAATACATTGCTGAGGTGATTTCAAGCCTAAATAGTGTCCTAGCCAAAGAACTCCACTTCCTGGTTTCCTCTTTTCTCTCTTCCTTTTTCTCCCCTCCTCCCTTCTCCATCTTTTCCTCCTTTCTCTTCTTCCTCTCTCTTCCCCTCTTTCTCCTCCCCCTCATTCTCTTCCTCTTCCTGAATGTGTGTGTTTCTGGAAATGGAACCCAGGGCCTTGCTAGGCAAGCATTCTACAAGTGAGCTACATCCTCAGCCCACCAAGTGTTCTTTCTTTTTGGGGGCAGAGGGGGTCATGGGACCTAAGTGCCATTCCTGAGCTCTTTTGCTCAGGGCTAATACCACTTTGAGCCACACTACCACTTCTGGTTTTCTGAAGGTTAATTGGAGATAAGAGTCTCATGCCCATGCTGGCTTTGAAACATGATCCTCAGATCTCATCCTCCTGAGTAGCTAGGATTACAGGCATAAGCCACCAGGTCCTGGCCCACCAAGCCCCCTACCCTTTTTTTTGTCAGTTGTAGGGTTTGAACTTTGGGCCTGGGCACTGTCCCTCAGCTCTTCAGCTCAAGGCTAGCACTCTACCACTTGAGCCACAGCGCCACTTCCGGCTTTTTCCTTTTTGCTTATGTGGTGTTGAGGAATCAAACCCAGGGCCTCATGTGTGCAAGGCAAGCGCTCTACCACTGAGTCACCTTCCCAGCCAGTTTTTACATTCTTTTTTTTTTTTTTTTGGGTCCGGTCATGTGGCCTGAACTCTTTGCCTGGGCACTGTCCCTCAGCTCTTCAGCTCAAGGCTAGCACTCTACCACTTGAGCCACAGCGCCACTTCTGGCTTTTTTTCTTTTTGCTTATGTGGTGCTGAGGAATCGAACCCAGGGCCTTGAGCATGCAAGGCAAGCACGCTACCACTGAGCCACCTTCCCAGCCCTAGTTTTTACATTCTTATAAGATGTGCATGATTTTTTTTTCCTCACTAATATTATTCTTTTCCTTATTTTCTTCTTAAAATTAGGTCCAGAGAAACAAAGATGATATTGTAGCTATAAAAAGGAATGGAATTGGTCTTTATTCAAATATATCTAATGAAATCCATGAGATTCATTCAAAGGTAAGTCAGACATATACATCCTAAGAGCAAATGAGTTCTCCTTAAATCAGTTTTACAAGTTGAGCGTCTTTCAGGGAATCCATCAACACTCTATACCTCATTATAATAACTGGCTTTTGTTAAGTGGTGTAACTCTAATAGAAGATACAGAAGTGGCAGTGGACAGAAGGTAGGGAATGTCACGGTAAGGATTTGCCTTGTTCAAGTCCTCATCACAGCCGCCTTCTTGGCGAAGAGGATTCCCCATAGCCATTTGTGAAAATTCTCAGCCACCATGGACAACATAGCAACGCATGAGCATATCAGTAGGTTTTTTTTTTTTGTCGGTTGTGGGGCTTGAACTCAGGGCTTGGGCCCTGTCCCTCTGTTCTTCAGCTCAAGGCGAGTGCTCTACTGCTTGAGCCACAGCGCCACTTCCATTTTTCTAGTGCTTTATTGGAGATAAGAGTCTCACGGACTTTCCTGCCCAGGCTGGCTTTGAACCGCATTCTCAGATCTCAGCCTCCTGAGTAGCTAGGATTACAGGTGTGAGCCACCGGTGCCTGGCTTTTTTCAGTGGGTTCTTTTAAACTTCGAAAAAAATCTAGGCAATCAATGGAAGAGACCAGGAAGAAACAGGAGCCTGATGGAGAGAGAAATAAGGAAGTAGAAGGCAAAGAAAGCAGGAACAAGGGAGTCCTTAGAAGAGGGTATTTGAAAAGTATTTCAAGTGTATAGCACTGCATATAAAATGCCTTTGAATGAGCTAATTGGTTCCCTTTCTTCTCCATTGCTAGCTTGTGGATCTTGAAGAAAAATTTCGAAGCTTACAGCAGGTAAGTCTCAAAAGATACATGTTCACTGAAGATTATACAAGAGTCCATTGTTAAGGCCAGCCATCTTATTTTAAGAGCAGATGAATGATCAATATGAAGGACTTAGCTGGGTGTTGGGGGTTTATACCTGCAATCCTAGCTTCTTGGGAAGCTGAGAATGGGCAAATCATGGTTCAAAGCCAGAGGCAGCAGAGAAGTTTACCAGACTCCTTCTTACCCCACAGCTGGGTTCAATGGGGGCCTGTCATTCTAAGCTACATGGGCAGGCAGAGATTGGGAGGCTCTAAGTTATAGGCCAAACCATCCATGGGGCACCGTCTCACTGGAAAAAGAAGTTGGGCATCATGATGTGGGACTGTCCCTTCATCAGCGGAGTGATGGCTAAAACAGATGGATAGAGGTTCAGATGTGTTCCTGAGGAAGACAGGAAGCAAGACCATATCTTAAAATTAACCAGCATAAAATAGGGCTAGAAGTGGCTCAGTGTTAGAGAGTGTCTACCTAGCAAGGAATACCTTGTTTGTCCATCCTGGCTCTGCAGCCAGTCTAACATTATGTTCTGGAGCCTGTGGGGGTATTACAGTATATTCCAAGTTTATTTAAAACTGTATTTGCTGAGAATTAAATTTGGATGGTCTCCAAGAAAAAAAGAATATTCAGGACTATGTAATTTTAGGCTTCTTACCTATTTTGTAGGTAGTTGGTCCCTTCAAGGCTGTTGTTGAAGCTAGAACTTTCTACTCAGAAACATACTCACTCTATTTATCATTTTTGAATGGGTGTTCTGGGAATTTTGAGTTAAGGATTTCTGCTCAGTTGATTTGTTTTCATTGTTTTCGGTCATTGTCCTCTACTATTGTTTTGTGCTTTAAGTTTGGTGAATACGTTCATTTTGGCCACTTGGAGAGTGGGTTACTTCCTTCGCCTTCATGTGTCTAGGGACTAGTTGAGTAAATGTAGCCAGCTATGAGCAAGTCACAGTTTTCAGTCTCTTACACTCTTTCCTTGTTTCTACCAAAGGTCAAGCAAGATTAGACGCACATGGCCCAAAGTATTTAGATTGTCCTCCTCCCTCCCAGCCTCCTTTAGAAAGAGATATTAATAATTTTCAAATGGGAACTTGAAAATTTCTGCCTTTGGATAGTGAAATGGGTATCTGGCTAACTATAGTCTCTGCCAATCCCCATTGTCTTCCTCCTGATTGCTGATTTCATTTCCTGCTGAACCACCATAAAGCTTTGGCTTTTCGAATCACTAGGCAGACAATGTCGGTTTTGTGCCCCAGACAAACTTCCATTGAGTTTGTGGTGAATGTTCTTAATAGTGTCTTTTGATGAGCAAAGCTCAAAGTTAGACAAAGTTAAACAAATAGAACAATGGGGAAAAAAACAGTTCATAAAAAGACCTCCACACAGATATTCTCCATATTTGTCCTTACTTGAGAAAGAATGGACTTTGCAATAAAATAATTATCACTCTCTGCTGGCTCTCAATTCATTTGTGAAATGACGAAAATGGACTAATTTTCTCTGCGAGTCATTGTATATACATACCTCTGAGTATGTGTGTATGGGATGATTATTTTATTCCTATTTAAGCAGAAGTGGGCTACAGTTAAAGTCACAGCTTCATTGCCTTACCCCCTGTCTTCTCTATAAAGAATTTGCCTCTGCCCTCAAAACCATTAAAAGTCCTACAAGATCGAAACAGGTAGCTGACATGTGGTAAAATCTCCCAGGCTGTATAGACAAAGGTAGGTCTGTGTGCAGCTCTGATCTGAAAGCGATCGGGTAAGCATACGTGAGGAAAGTGTATCTTAGCTGGCCACATTTCAAACAAAGGAGCTTGCAGTGAAAAGAGCTCAGTCATCTGGACCCATAGAAAGAGTCTGGCAGTAAAAGGCGATTCCATTTCAAAGCCTTACCTGAAGGTACCAGAGATAAGACTAATAGATTAAAGAGCAGGAGATTTCCATTTTATTTTCTTAGTGCAATAGAAATAGATATTCATTGTTATCTTGTTCAGATATTTCTCAGATGGGACACATTTTCCCAAAGAATGGTGGGAAAGCCTTCTTCTCCATACCTCATTCCATCCAGGGTTTAAAAATCTAGTAAAGAAAGTGTCAAGGAGTATGGGAAGGATTGGCAGTAGGAAACACCTATTTTATTCTTTTCCACAAGAGAGTTAATTTGAAGAAGAACTTGAGTAGCTGACAAGGCCATCTCTAGATGCAAGGCCCTCACTGACAAGGAGTAAACATGAAATCCTCCAATGCCCACCAGGACTGAAACCTGCCCTTCACCACTGCCCAGGGCAAATGCCATTGTCTCCAATCACTGACTTGTCTTTGTTTCAGACAGTGGACACAAATGTTTGCAGCAGCAATCCCTGCAGGAATGGTGGGACGTGCCTGGATCTGAAAGGTTCCTTTTTCTGTATCTGCCCTCCTCAGTGGCAGGTGAGTCACGTGGTCTCTGGTGAGAAGCAAGAATGCAACAGAATCTGTGCTTTCCTTATTTGATTGTCCGAAGTTTCTAATGTGCAGTGGCCTCCTGAGAATTATATATACCTTACATGCCAAATGATGATGCATTTGATTCTTTTACCCACTGAATACAAAGCCATCTTAAGGCAGAGTTCACTTAATTGAATCACAACATGGAAGGGAATGTTACCTCCCTTAGTATTGGCATGGACGACTTGAATCTTAACATATTGAAATTTTCTTGTCCTTTCTGGTGAAAAGGCTCCCAGTATATACTTTAACAACAAAACTGATACATAAGTATTCCTAGGCTTAGCACCATTGTGAAATTAAGGACACATCTTTGTAAGAATTCCTTCTGATGGCTGTGATCTTTTTTAAAAATTTATTATTGTGGTCAGCACCGGTGGCTCATGCCTGTAATCCTAGCTACTAAAGAGGCTGAGATCTGAAGATCATGGTTCAAAGCCAGCCTGGGCAGGAAAGTCCATGAGATTTATCTCCAATTAACCATTAGAAAACTGGAAATTGAGCTATGGCTCAAAGTGGTGAAGCATGAGCCTTGAACACAAAAGCTCAAGGACAGTGCCCAGGCCCTGTGTTCAAGACCCATGACCACTACCACAACCACCAAAAAAGATGATGTAGATAAGCTAGATAAGTCAGGTGGCTGTGATCTACTTAAGGGCTTGTTAGGTCCAGGAAAAAGTATAGCCAACGATTAATATTACAATTACTGTATTTAGCTTACCAATCTCTTACCTACTGTCCGTGTATACATATATATTAGAATACCATAAGCATACCGAACCCCCTTTTCCTGTGGCACCTGACTGTTCTTGATGTGATTGCAGGGACCACACTGCTCTGATGATGTTAACGAATGTGTGATGGGAACACTCATGGGCTGCCAGAATGGAGCCACATGTATAAACACTATGGGGAGTTACAGGTAACTTTATCATTATTTTTTTTAAATATCAGGTGTCTTTTTTGAGGATTGAGACATCTGGTGTTTGAAAATGTCCAAGTTACTGTTCATATTACCTGAAAAAGTAGCTACTCCCTGGAGAAAAATAGGTGACTCTCACTGAACATATGCATAGCTGTTTTTGCGTTGATAAACAAAAGCTCAGATGAACAACTATCACCTGTTGAAACTATCCTTTCTCCAGCATCTCCAAGAAGCAGAAAGAAGTCCAGTGTCTGCCCCAGAGACTGAGGATAGCTTGATGCAAGATGAACAGAAGCATTAGCTAGAAGAGTCTGTGTTGGAGCATGCCAATGAGATGGTGTCCGTAGAGTAGAGCCCTCCCCCCACCATGCCAGTGTCCTGCAGTTATGCTCATTCCATTTATTAGAGATCTCATCATGTTAGTCAGGATAGCTTCATCCATCACTGTGCAAGAATGTCAACTTAAACTAGATCAAAGACTGAACTGAAGCTCAATGAATGACATAACTTCATTGCATTTGTTCAGTTAGCCACTAAATTCCCAGTCATAATCCTCATACTGTTCTATCTTCTCTTCTGATTTATTTTTGTCAAGTGGCTGGCCCACAGAATTCTACTACCTCACCCATTGGGTTAGATGGCACAATATCTCCATGGTTCTACTATACCACAGGATTGTTGGCCATCAGTCATGCTGGCCCACATAATAACTTTAATAACCAAGTCTACAAATTCATAGCAGACCATTGTCAAATTTATTCCTGTACAATTCGTTTAAAGATCATTTAAAAATCTCTAGATGTTGTCTTTCCTCTATTTTGTCTGCTTTCTTAATTTCTTTTTTTTTTTTTTTTTTGTCATTCCTGGGGCTTGAACTCTGGGCCTGGGCGCTGTCTGTGTGCTCTTTAGCTCAAGGTGAGCGCTCTACCGCTTGAGCCATAGTGCCACTTCCGGTTTTCTAGTGGTTTATTGGAGATAAGAGTCTCCCCGAGTTTCCTGCCGGAGCTGGCTTTGAACCTCGATCCTCAGATCTTAGCCTCCTGAGTAGCTAGGATTACAGGCGTGAGCCACCAGCACCTGGCTTCACTGTGACATTTCTAACCATGTATTGTATTGCTGTCAGTCTTCCTCCATCACTTTCCCTCACTTAGCAATCTTGTTTTTCTTTTTTTTTTGGGTCCAGTCGTGGGGCCTGAACTCTGGGCCTGGGCGCTGTCCCTCAGCTCTTCAGCTCAAGGCTAGCGCTCTACCACTTGAGCCACAACGCCACTTCCGGCTTTTTTCTTTTTGCTTATGTGGTGCTGAGGAATCGAACCCAGGTCCTCAGGCATGCAAGGCAAGCACTCTACCACTGAGCCACCTTCCCAGCCCAATCTTGTTTTTCTTTCTGTCTTCTATTAACATACTATTTTCTCAAAAAAGAAGTTACAATCCTTTTGTTCTTTTGATCAGATAGATCTTTAAAATTACAGAAAAACACATTGCAAGTTATAAATGTAGCTCACTCAAACCTCTCATTGATAGTTCAGTCACTATGAAAAACTGAAATTAATGCCCTTATCATATATTGAATATGGTGTTATAAAGTGCCATAGGCTGGTACAATATGAGCTGAAATCCTAGCACCAGTCATAACTTTACAGGGACTGATATTAATCTGTTTGAAGGACTTTGCTTTTAGGACTTTGCTTCTTGTTTAAATGAACTGTCTGCCCTTTGCTTTTATAAATCTTCATTCTTGGATTCATCTTTTATTTCCTTGAAAGTATTAACTCTTGATTTCTGCCAATGAGCACTTATCAAAAATTACTACTTGAGGGGCTGGGAAGGTGGCTCAGTGGTAGAGCACTTGCCTTGCATGCCTGAGGTCCTGGGTTCAATTCCTCAGCACCACATAAGCAAAAAGCAAAAAGCCGGAAGTGGTGCTGTGGCTCAAGTGGTAGAGCGCTAGCCTTGAGCTGAAGAGCCGAGGGACAGTGCCCAGGCCCAGAGTTCAGGCCCCATGACCGGACTCCCCTCAAAAAAAATTGCTATTTGAGATATGAGTCATAAATGTAATGGCTCCTAGCACTTATACTTTCTGTCCTTCTCAATATATAGGGATATTGGGGAGATGAGATTTCACTCCTGATTTTCCTTTCTTACCAATATTTTTTGGTTATCTACATGGCAATGGAGTGATGTACTGGTAGGAGGAGCTCATTGAGACAGCATACTTCATTTTTCTTGCCTACAAAGAGGAAAAGAAAAAGAAGAACTTTAGCATTCACAAATATTTGTTGCATCTCAGGAGTTAAGTGTTCCTTGCTAGAAGCATCTACATGAGAGAGTGAAACAGAAACACATACTTCCTTTGTTGAGAACTGCAGGTCTAAGTGGCCCTTCAACCTTCAAGAACAGTGCCATGTCCCCTCTTTTAAACAGAAGTGCTTCTTGTGCTGACTCGAGAAATAATTTTGGTTTCTAGTCTCTACCCTTCCTGGATTTGTGGGAGAATGTTTATATCCAATCTCTTCTTCCTGGTATTCGAAGTAGTTTGCAAAGCCTTACAAATCCCAGTTGATTACCTAGTATAAGTGGTGGTGGTGATTTTTCAAGGAATAAAGTAAAATAGAGAAATATGCATGAGCATTAATTCCTGCTTTGTAGAATCTGTATGCAGTGAGTGAACATTTTGACAATATCTTGAGTTGTAGTGATCATTGGAGAGTAAAGCCTTATTAATTTGTAGTCTTACTGAGGCTAGAAGCACCTTTGGAGAACTTCCAACACATATTTGCCAAGGGAAAACTTGAGCAACTGCTGAATCAGGATCTTGAAAAAAATATATTATATGGTCATGGTAAGTAAAGTTAGCTTTGGTTTTGAGGCCTTGCAGTTTCATTCAACTTATTTTCAGTCTCACTCAACTTGTTTGGGAGAAAAATGGAATTTATTATTTTTTTTGCCAGTCCTGGGGCTTGAATTCAGAGCCTCGGCACTGTCCCTGAGCTTCTTTTACTCAAGGCTAGCACTCTACCACTGGAGCTACAGCGCTACTTCTGTTTTTTTCTGTTTGTGGTGCTGAGGAATTGATCTCAGGGCTTCACACATGCTAGGCAAGTGCTCTACCAACTAAGCCACATTACCAGCCTGAAAAATGGAGTCTTTATTTAATTAAGTTAGTGATCCATAATTTTAGAGACCTCTGAAAAGATAAAATATTATGCAATTAGTCAGATTTTGGGAAAAATTATTATTATTATTATTATTTTGGTCAGTCGTGGGGCCTGAACTCTGGTCCTGGGTGCTGTCCCTCAGCTCTTCAGCTCAAGGCTAGCGCTCTACCACTTGAGCCACAGCACCCACTTCCGGCTTTTTCTGCTTATGTGGTGCTGAGGAATCGAACCCAGGGCCTCATGCATGCAAGGCGAGCACTCTACACTAAGCCACCTTCCCAGCCCAAGGGAAAAATTATTTTTAAAGAAATAGAGCAATCTTATCTCTAACCATTAAAAAGCTAGAAGTACAGATAAATTGCTCAAGTGGTAGAGCACCAGCCTTGAGCCCAAAAGTCAAGCAAGAGTGCAAGGCCCTGAGTTCAAGCCTCAGGACTGATATATAAAGAATAAGAAAAAGTAGGCTGGGAAGGTGGCTCAGTGGTAGAGTGCTTGCCTCGCATGCAGGAGGCCCTGGGTTTGATTCCTCAGCACCACATAAACAGAAAAGTCAGAATGGTGCTGTGGCTCAAGAGGTAGAGCTGAAGAGCTGAAGGATAGCACCCAGGCCCAATTACCTTTTCTTTAAAGGATACATCAAGTTACCTTGAAGCTATATTCTGCGTGGTAACATGTTAAAAAGACATAACTGCAATGTCTTTGCACTAACTTAACCTTTCAGAACATAGATAGAAGATGTAATATATAGAAATGATGGTGTCAAGTAGCATAGACCTTGATTTTCATCCATTTACAAGCAACTAGTAATTCCATCATGGCATTAGGTGATGTATGTCTGTACAGTGGAGTGAAAAATAGGTGTCCTAGCCGGGCGCTGGTGGCTCACGCCTGTAATCCTAGCTACTCAGGATGCTGAGATCTGAGGATCGCGGTTCAAAGCCAGCCAGGGCAGGAGAGACCGTGAGACTCCTATCTCCAATAAACCACCAGAAAACCGGAAGTGGCGCTGTAGCTCAAGTGGTAGAGTGCTAGCCTTGAGCTGAAGAGCTGAGGGACAGCGCCCAGGCCCAGAGTTCAAGCCCCATGACCGACAAAAAAAAAAAAAATAGTTGCCCTGGCCAGGTCCCAGTGATTCGGTGACCCACACTAATAACCTAGCTACTCAGGAGGCTGCGATCTGAGGATTGTGGTTTGAGGCCAGTCTGGGCAGGAACGCTCATGAAACATTTATCTCCAATTAACCACCAAAAAGCCAGAAGTGGAGCTGTGGCTCAAGCAAAGCAAAAAAGGCTCAGGTTTTACGGTCAAGCCATAGGACCACTACAAACACACACACACACACACACACACACACACACACACACACACACACACACACACACACACACACACACACACACACACGCGCGCACGGTTTTGCCTGAAGATTAGATTAAGGAAACTCACAGTTTACTTAGCTTGCTTTTTCTCTCATTTTTCTTCTTTTCATATAAGTAAATTCAAATGAAAGAAACCTACTTTGCAGCTAGTTAACATCCACTCATTTCCCAGTGTCAATAGTAAAGGGAAAGGAAGAGAGATAAGGAGAGAGGATTTTATTGCAAGTTTGTGAACTAGAATGTCCTCCCTCAAATCTTAAGTCATTTTTCAATATTTAAGTGCTCAGTGATAAGATAAACTCAATTTCCTGAGCACTTTCTCCAGAGGAAGCCTATGAAAACAATGCCCATGTATTAGACAGCACATTGTCCAAGGTGCACAGTTAACAGACCTGCTCAGGACTTAAATCTGAACTATAATGTCATAGGTTTTTCCAAACACTCAAATCTCTCATAAATGGAAAATAGACTTAGAACTATAGTAATATGTGCTTTTAAGATTTTTAAATTAACAGATTTGTGAAAATAAATTTGTATCAATGAAGTCAGCTGTATCAATGCTCAAGTATGTACATGAAATATTCTAAATTTCTGTAATTATGAAGAGTGTAATTAAACTGTTGGAATATTTATATAAGGGTGTGTATGAGAGAAAGAGAGAAAGAAGGAGGGAGAGGAGAAGGAAAAGAAACAGAATATGAGCAAGAAAATGGAAAAAGAGAAGGGAAGATACTTGCTCTTTAGGGTTTAATGACTTATTGCTATTCATCTATAACCTTGTCTTCATGTAAAAAGCAATTTTGGAATGCTCAGGAATGTAATTTAGTAGTGAGATAGTTTTTTAAAGTACATAGTGCAATTATAAATATTGATTATGTATATAATATATAAATACCAATCATAATTATGCACAAAATATGCATTTACTGAATTTCACATTTAGCTGGGTATCCTGTGTTTCCATTTGCCAAGTCTGTCAACTCTCCCTACAAATTCTTGGGTACTGTTCATCGTGTGATTCCTCTCCATCTCTAGCCATATCCATTGATCTTCTATTCCTTAGAAGCTACTCAAACATGCCATCCCTGGGCAAAGTGAGTTCTGTGCCCAGGGTGAAGCCCTTGAGTGTTTCAAACAGCCAGACTTACTTCCTGTGCTTTGGCTCTTATACCTTAATGTGTGTAATTAAGGATGATTCCTTTTTCCAGGATGCTAAAAACCAAGTTCACGTTTGTAAGCTTGGGAGGCAGGCAATGGCCCTTTAGGTTCTTTGCCTTGTTCCTGACCCCCGTGTGGTAGTCCTGTGTGATAATAAGTCTCCATTCACTAACATTTTATTTGTGAAAGTCACGTGTTTGCTCAGTTTTTTCCCCCTCTTGGAGCAGAACAGGATGGTTTTCCTCCAGGGCTCTAGGCAGTTAACTTGCACTGCTGGTTCCCGGTTCCATGTTCAGATCACTTACTTGCAATTTGGCCAGCAGGTGCTGGCTTTCAAGCACAATCCCAAATGTCATGCTCTTGTGCAACCCAACAGATGTGACTGCTCGCCGGAGACTTACGGGACGCAGTGTGAATTCAAATACGATGACTGCAAAGGGGTCTCTAAACAGCGCTGTGTTCACGGCATCTGTGAGGATTTAGACCGAGTAGAAAATGGACAGGTGGGTCCCCCTCCCTCCCCTTCCCAACTGTGACTGCTTTGATGGAGCCACGGGTGGCAAGTCCTCATGCTGGGCTGCGTGGGAACACTGTCCCAGGGAGCCACAGATACGAAGTTGTTTTCTATCCTTAGTGGGGCACAGGTGAGGAGAGAAGCAGAGATATATGGAAAGCTGGACCCAGAGGTTAAGGTCCTTCCAGAAAATACTAACCTTTTTATTCATTGGCCTATGAATCTCCCTGGGAGACAGGTCTTTCTCCTGGCCTTTGGAGTGTTCAGCAGTGACAAGATGTAGAAACACAAAAGGCTCAGTCTTGCCAGCAACGTGTAACTTTGGATCTGGAAATTTTCTGGTCCTATAGACTCTATGGGCCTACTTTTCTTTTGTCCTTCTCTGAGTCTGGGGTACCTCAACTTCTGAATCTTTTTTTTTTTTTTTTGGTCTAGTCGTGGGGCCTGAACTCTGGGCCTGGGTGCTATCCCTCAGCCCTTCAGCTCAAGGCTAGCACTCTACCACTTGAGCCACAGCGCCACTTCTGGCCTTTTTTTTCTGCTTATGTGGTGCTGAGGAATCGAACCCAGGGCCTCATGCATACAAGGCAAGCACTCTACCACTGAGCCACCTTCTCAGCCCACTTCTGAGTCTTAAGGTGACTAGTTGGTCCTTTATCAGCACTTCAGGTCTTCAGTTTTATTGTTTCCCTACTCTTTATGTTGGAAAACGGTTTTTTGTTTGTTGTGGTTTTTTTTGCTAGTCCTGGGGCTTGAACTCAGGACCTGGCACTGTCCATGAACTTCTCTTGTGCAGGGTTAGCACTCTATCACTTGAGCCACAATGCCACTTCCAGCCTTTGCTGTTCATGTGGTACTGAGGAATCGAACCCAGGCTTTCATGCATGCTAGGCAAATACTCTCCCACTGAGCCACATTCACAGCCTAGAAAATGGTTCTTTCCCATGGTGGTATGGGACAGCTAGAGGAAAGACTGACAGAGGAGAGAGTGACCTTCAAAGGGAAACAAATAGATTTTCGAACGTCTGTTCCCATGGATGTTTTTCCCTCCAAAACCAAAGCAGGCTGAGTTGATTACCTTTAATTATATTGACTTACAGCTCTTGATTCTTATTGCTATTTCCTTGGCATTTTGGGGATAAATTATAGGATTCTCTGACCCTGAAATCAAGATGTTTCCTTTTTCCATGGTCTAGTCTAAATGCCTAAATGATATGGGAAAGAAAAAAGAGAAGCTCTTTGATTGGTCTAAGGCAATGAATGTTAGACCATAGATGGTTCGGGGAGATTTCCCCAGGCTTTTCTTGCTTCTTGACCTGATTGTCTTTGTTTATGCTGTTGTCACCCTATCAGCCCAAGTTCAGCTGCATCTGTGAAGCCGGGTGGACATTTTCTCCAAACAACCCTGCATGCACAGAGGATATAAATGAGTGCCTGCATGATCCCTCACCTTGCTCAGAACTTGTGACGTGTGTCAACACCCAAGGCTCTTTCTACTGTGGGGCCTGCCCAACAGGTACATCCTCAGGGCTCAGAAGCCAGGCCCTGCATAGCCAGGCGAACAAGGCACAAGAACCTATTCGTTTCTGCTACACATGGGAAACAAGACCATTCTTGTCATAACAACTCCCTAACACAAGCAGGTGTTTTGTCCAGAACTGCAAGGTTAGCCGTAGTTGGAAACTTTTAACCTTAGGTCTCTGAAGCCATCAACCAACTAGACTTGAAGTCAAGAGTCATGTGCTCTAGTCCCACCTTCTATATTAACCAGATAACTGCAAAACTCAGGTAAAATTTTTGGCCTCTTTCTATTAATGCTACTGTCCAGTACATGGACATGTCCTTTGAACCCCCTGTGGCCTTACTGTGAATAGGGATTTCCATCACAGCCTCAGTGACTGAATCTCTGGGAGAGGCCCTACGCTGAACTGCTGAGAACATGGAGTCGGTACTTAGAGACTGCCAGGGTTTGAATCTAAACTTCCTCTTATTATGACACCATTATCACCCATTGAAAACGTATTTGTAAGACACCTATCATCAGGGAAATGCTGTATTGGGTGCACTGATGAACAAGATCAAGACTTCATGGATCTCACAAGGCCTCTCTACTCCTTGGGTGTACTTAGAAAGTGAAGCACAAATATTATCATCATGGCAGCTTGCCTTCATGAAAACATCATTAGGGCCCCATTCAAGTGTAAGGAATAGTGTTAATTCTTGAAATTACAAGAAGAGTTGTGGTAGGAATTTATATTTTTCACATTTTAGGACTGGAGAGATTAAATAAGTTTCCCAAGACCATGTAGCTTACAAGTAGATCGATTTGAACCCAGGATCTCCTACCAAATCCTGGGTCCAAACTGAGCTGTTAAATCTATCCCTGCATTTTGCATAAGAACCACACACACACTTGTTGATTCCCTTGGTAACTTGTAGCGCAGGGCATTTTTGCATGCTAGAAGTTTAGACCTTTTAAACATAGCAATAAATTGAAATAAAATGTGCAGGGTTTTCCTGAGGCAACTAAAATTTGTAGAAAGCCACATTTTTTTTTTGGGGGGGGGGGGTCCAGTCACGGGGCCTGAACTCTGGGCCTGGGCGCTGTCCCTCAGCTCTTCAGCTCAAGGCTAGCACTCTACCACTTGAGCCACAGCACCACTTCCAGCTTTTTTCTTTTTGCTTATGTGGTGCTGAGGAATCAAACCCAGGGCCCCGTGCATGCAAGGCAAGCGCTCTACCACTGAGCCACCTTCCCAGCCCTCAGATACAGGGTTTTAAAACAAACATCCCATCTCTGGTATGCTAAAATTTCACAGTCAATTAAATATGAAGGATAAAAATTCTTTCAGTGTTATGTGTTTACACATATGCACACGCAGGGATGTATGTGAATTGTTGAAATTGTTATTAGCATTCAGTGGTACAAATCAGCCATAAAATATTCAGGATTCCCATTTTAGACACTGACTTTCACTTCTAAGTAAACAAAAACTGCCATCTTAGTATGTTGATAATTTTTCTACCAAAGAATTAATTTCAAGAAGTGGACTTTTAGTCAAAGGACATGTATTGTATTTACATTTTAAAAGAAATACCATCAAATCTCTTTCCAAATTGTTTTTGATAAATTAATTTACAGCCTATAGGTGTACCACTTTTTCCCCATTGCTTTGCCAGAAGTTCTAAGAATTGAAGACAACTTGGGCTAATAGCTATCAGTAGTTATCTCTCTCTCTCTCTCTCTCTTTTCCAGTCCTGTGACTTGAACTCAGGGCTGGGCACTGCCCCTGAGCTTCTTTTGCTCAAGGCTAACATTCAACCACTTGTGCCACAGTGCCTCTTCTGCCTTTTTCTGTTTATGTGGTCCTGAGGAATCAAATCCAGGGCTTCATGCACATCAGGCAAGCACTCTACCAGTAAGCCACATTCCCAGATCAGTTATATCTCTTTTTAATCTACAGGACTTTTTTAAGTAGAGAGAGGTTTAATGTGTTTTAACCATGTGTATTTCTCCATTGTCAACTGGTCTATAGCTAACCTTCCAAATCTTGTTTTTCTAGGATGGCAAGGAAATGGGTATTATTGCCAAGATATCAATGAATGTGAGATTGATAATGGTGGCTGTTCAGTGGCTCCACTTGTGCAGTGTGTGAATACACTTGGATCTTTCAGATGTGGTGACTGTCCTCCAGGTACTGCACCAAGCCCCTGATTCCATGACAGAGCCCATATGTTTGGAAACAGTATCTTGTGTTTCATTTAATTTAACATAGGAATTCTAAAAAAAGAAATTGAGTAGTAGAAAACATTGAATTTGATATGTGAACTCAGGATTCATGATTACAACTACATTATAAGAAAGAAAATTTTAAAACAGTCAAAACCAGCTGGGTGCCTGTGGCTCACGCCTGTAATCATAGCTACTCAGGAGTCTGAGATCTGAGGATTGTAGTTCAAAGCCAGCCTGGGCAGGAAAAGTTCATGAGACTCTTATTTCCAATTAACCACCAGAAAACTAGAAGTGGCACTGTGCCTCAAGTGGTAGAGTGCTTGCCTTGACCAAAGAGCTCATGGGCAGCACTCAGGTCCAGAGTTCAAGCCCCAGGACTGACAAAAAAGCAAACAACAGCAACGACAACAACAACTAAAAACCCCAAACCAGTCAAAATCCAACAGTACACAAGCCCCTTCATACTGTGAAATGGACACTGAGATAATATAGAATTTGAAAATTCTTCTGTGTGAATTACAGATCAATAGCTCTATTGTTCTCACACATAATTTATTAATATAATGCACTCATTAGATATTTTACAGATAAAGTTTACCAAATCACATGCATATAATGTATTGTTGTTTCCTTTTTTTTTCTGGAAAGAAGTCATTAATGCTTATTGAATTAGTATCCAAGAAGTACAGAGATGTATACACAAATTGAATCTTACATGTTTTAAGAACATGAAGCAATAGTAGTTCAGACTTTTGCATTAATTTACTTCTAAGAATATCAAAGTTGCTGAAATGAACAAACATCAACTTTTTTAGTATTCTTAGTTTCTATTATATATATATATATTTCTAAGGCATATGTTTAGCATATGTTTAACATATTAAGTTAGAAACAAGTCAGAATATATTATTTTTGGAGTCAGGTTGCTAATACTTGTTGCTCTGTCTTCAGTGAAAACACTTTATTTGTTTATAACCTATGCTTACGTCTTCTGTTTGGATGGCTGCTTCGTGGCCCGCTTCATGGGATCTGAAGCTCAGATTGACATTCCCTTTCTCCTACACCCTTGACACTCACTCCCCATCCCCACTCTGCTTTGATCAGGCTACAAGGGCAATGGAAAAGTATGTACTCCCATCGACATCTGCCGGGTCAATAATGGAGGCTGCCATCCACAAGCATCGTGCTTCTCGTCTCTAGGTAATGACTCGCCTCATTCTTTGGTCTTGGGTATTTTATTTTGTTTATTTTGCAGGTCCCAGAGCCTGGATTCTGTCCTTGAGCCTCTCTGTTCTCAAGGTTGATGCTCTACCACTTGAGACACAGCACCACTTCTGGCTTTTTCTGGGTTTTTTTTTTTTTTTTTGGTCCTGAGGAGTGGAACCCAGGGCTTCATGCATGCTAGTATGCAAGCACTCTACCACTAAGCCTCATTCCCAGCTTTGGTCCTCTAAAACAATTCCACATTGTAACCCCAAAATATCTGCCCTACACATTCTTATTTTTACCCTCAAATGAAAAATTAATTCATATCATGAAAACTAATTTTTTTTTTTGTCTGTCGTGAAGCCTGAACTCTGGGCTGGGTGTTGTCCCTCAAGGACAGTCAAGGCTAGTGCTCTACCATGTGAGTCACAGCACCACTTTGGGCTTTTTCTGCTTATGTGGTGCTAAGGAATCAAACCCAGTGCTTATGCATGCAAGGCAACACTCTACCACTGAGCCACCCTCGCAGCCTCATGAAACCTATTTTCTTGGATATTTTTTAAAATGCTAGGCACAGTGGCTTCCCATCTGCAATCCTAGCTACTCATCAGTCAGTGATAGGTGGTCCATGAGCTGAATAGTCAGGTTACTAATGGAGTAAGCTAGAACAAAATCTCTAAAGAAAAACAAACAAACAAAGGATTGACTAAAGCAGTAGAGCACTTGCCTAGTGAACATAAGGCTCCAAATTCAGTGCCCACTAATTGAAAATGGAAATTACACTAGGTTACATTCTTTTGTGATTTTCTTGGACTTAGGATTTCCCAAGACAATTAAGCCAGTTAATTAATGACTGAATTCTAGCCAATAAGAAGGTGAAAAGAAGTAGGAGGAAATGCCACCCCTTTTCCTCTTTATACCATTGGCGAGAATTGAGCCACATGGTAACGCTGCTGCTGGTGAAGGCTGAAAGTATAATCATTGTTTCAGGTATATTGAATCTAGCTGAAATAGTTAATAGTAAAGACAGGAAAAGTGCATCTTCGGTGATTCAGTGTCTGCAATGCTGCGTAACAGAGATTCCATGTTTTAAAATTTCTCTATAGTGACAGATATTTTGCTATTAAGTCTCTGGACATTGTTTAGTGAAATTTTCTAAACTACTGGAATGAGGACCATTTCTAAACAGAGTGAAATCCTAGATGCTCTTACACTATCTATTTTGTTCATATCCTACCCAATAACAGATGTGAATTTGTGTCTAGAAAGATTTAAACATTTTAAATTCTATTTGATCCAGTCTTTCTCAACCCATTTAGATTGTCATTGTTTTAACTTTATAGCATGACCATGAGCAGCTCATGAGAAGTGTGGGAGAAATTTTGGTGCTGTCATTTTCTTGATGCTTGTTTATGTTACTGCTCCTCCTATTTATCCAATCTACAGTTGCATTTGCAAAATTCCTGTCACGTTTCAAATTCATTTCATGGTGGCTGACCTAGTTAAAGCTGTCAAGACACAGCCCATACTGCCACATAAACGAGACCATGTGAATTGCCCACTTAGGTCCAACTCCTGTGCTTGCCCACCAAGGGTTCCTTGTTTTGTCCATGTTCTAGCTGTGTGTGCTTGCTCAAGACAACATCTCTGCTGTGCTCTGAATTCAAAAGGTATAAATGGTGACGACAGCAGATGCTGTAAGGAGCTAAGACAGTCTATGTATGGGTAGACCACACTGCTTGTAACAGACATATTATGAGAATCAGATACATTATAAGAATCCTCTTTATCTGATAATCTTTGCATGATGTAGAATTCCCATTTCCCTTCTGGCATATTGCATGGCACCACTAGTGCCCATTCATTTACAGAATATTAGAAATATTGAATGGCCTTCTTTTAAGATAAAAATGAGAAAATAAAGATGCCAGCATTTTCTGCTCGTACCTTGTCTTCTCTGCCCATAGATAGGTATAAATTTTCCATTGGTGGTCTGTTCTTTAGGCACCAGAACCTGAATTTACTAATGGCCCTTTGATTATCCTGAGAAGGATTCCTATATTTATGCTTGCATTTTTCTTTCTGACAGGGTCCTTACCTCTCTGCACCTGTTTGCCTGGATATACAGGAAATGGTTATGGGCCGAATGGTTGCGTGCTTCTCAGTGGTCATTGCTCTGGCCATCCCTGTCTACATGGACAATGCACAGTGAGGCTTCTATTTTTTTTAGGGGAAATGAATATTATAATATGAGTAAATTTAGTTCTTGCATCTACAAAATACATTTTATATAATTAAAATTTATGGTAAAAGATTGATGAATAACTCACAGATAAAGGTAGGTAGTAGTTTAGTTCTCAGGAAAAATCAATTCTATCTTTCTTTCTTTTTTTTTTGGTTGGTCATGGGGCTTGAACTCAGCATCTGGGTACTGTCTCTGAGATCTTTCATTCAAGGCCAGCTCTCTACCACTTGGAGCTTTGTGCCACAGCTCCATTTCCAGTTTTCTGGTGGTTAATTGGAAGTCTCACCTCCGGGCTGGCTTTTAGCCTTGATTCTCAGATCTCAACTTCATGAGTAACTAGGATTACAGCCTTACCCTGGCTCAGTTCTTTTTTTTTTTTGGTTGGTTGTGGGGCTTAAACTCTGGGCTTGGGCGCTGTCCCTCAGTTCTTCAGCTCAAGGCGAGCGCTCTACCACTTGAGCTACAGTGCCACGTCTGGTTTTCTGATGGTTTATTGGAGATAGGAGTCTCACGGTCTTTCCTACCCGGGCTGGCTTTAAACTGCGATCGATCCTCAGATCTCAGCCTCCTGAGTAGCTAGCACCCGGCCTTTTTCTTTTTTCTTTTTAAAAATTTACTGCAGTGATTTACAAAATAGTCAACAAAGCTTACAGTTTCATCTGAGTAAGTTATATTTAATGATTATCATTGTTAGTAAATTTGACTACTGAAAATACTTAATATAATACAGCTCCTGTTAGGTTACTTTTCATCCTTATTTGGGTTGGTTCTCTTGTTTCCTGTTCATTTGTTTTATGGTATTCTGTTTTTATGTTCTCTACAGGAAACAGTCACAGGCTATCTTTGTAAGTGTGAACCAGGCTGGGCTGGTGCCAACTGCTCAGAAAACATCAATGAGTGTGCAAGCAACCCCTGTTTGAATGGGGGAACTTGTGTAGATGGCATTAATTCCTTCAGCTGTGAGTGTACGAGTTCCTGGACCGGAGATCACTGTCAGACTGCCCAGCAAGGTATGGTCAGCATTTCTTATCCCCCAGATAGCTAGCTACTGCTCAGAAGTCTTATCCTTTAATGAGTCCTTCTGCGGACATTCCACTCCTACTTGCCTCCTGGGTCCATTGCTCAAATGTACAGAATGACCTTTCCTTGTAGAAATGGCATAGAAATCCATAAGGTAGGTATTTATGAACCTCAATTCAAGTCAGAAGAATTTTTCTTCAAAAGAAGTAAATTCCTCGCTAGCATTGTCTCTTGTGGTTTTCTACTTTGTGTAGAGCAGGTATTTAATGTCTCTTAATCATGCCTCTCTCTTGCTCTGGATGTTCACTGGCTTCTCATCATTACCTGTTATAGTTGGGGATTGCCTTTCAGTTATCTTCTGATGCAAGCCAGACATTTTTCTTTCTCTGCCTGACTGGTGCCATGAACATTCACTGTGTTCTTGTGTTTGGGATAATTTTCCCAAGATCCTCCCAAATTCTCTCCTTGTTTCCCCATCCAGGGGTGGCTATTCTTACTTTACATCCAAATGGCCTCCATAAAGTCTCTTCTGGCTACTCGACCAGTCACTTAGGACTCCTGATTCATAATCAATATAGTTATTGAGATGTTACCATGTATTTAGGAAAATGGTAAACCCTTTGAGAAAACGGGGGGCAGGAAACACTGTCTCCTTTTATTCCCCACTCACCTTCTAGTGGAAAAAAAAGATGAACACAATACGGCTGAACTAAAGCTGTGAACTAAGTTGTGTGAGATGAAGTCAAGTTTCAGATCAGGGTAGAGGATGGGAGAATAAATTCAAGAAAAGCTTGTGGTGAAGGTGATTGCTTAACAGTTGAAATTGGAGTCAGAGGACACAGAGGTGGGAATGGAAGACAAGAGTTGTGTAGCCTCTTCCTTATTTCTTCCTGTTTTCCCTTGCAGTGTGTGGAGGGTCCCTTTCAGAGCCGAATGGGAGCATCAGCTATACAGCTCTCGACACTCAATATGAGCGTGATGTTAACTGCTTCTGGGTTATCCGAACTGAAGTGGGAAAGGTAATGTAGCAACCATGGCCCCAATGGAGATGTCCTATGTATATTTCAATAAGGATATGTGTGTGCACATGAGTACATATCATAATTATGCTAGTGTGTGTTCAGTATTTACTAAATGCCCACCTTTGGGTTAGGTATTTTGCCTACCTTTAAAAAAAATCTGAAGTTAATTTTTCAAAATAAGTAGTCCTATGTGCATTTTATAGATTAAATAATAGAAACTAGGAGAAGTTACATTGAGGTTTTTTTTTTTTTTGGGTCCAGTCATGGGGCCTGAACTCTGGGCCTGGGTGCTGTCCCTCAGCTCTTCAGCTCAAGGCTAGCGCTCTACCATTTGAGCCACAGCACCACTTCCAGCTTTTTTCTTTTTGCTTATATAGTGCTGAGGAATCAAACCCAGGGCCTCATGCATGCAAAGCAAGTGCTCTACCACTGAGCCACCTTCTCAGCCATTGAGTTTTTGTTTTTAAGCACCATTTAATTTGTAATTGAAGTAGTTGAATCTCAATGTCAAGTTTGCTTCCCAAGCCCATACACTGTCTGCTGATGAATGTTTATCTTCTTTGATTGGCTGACAGCAAGCTAGTAGTTAACTGGTAAAGTCCTGCTGTTACTGAGAAAGTAGTGTTTGAAGATCATCAAGATTTTAATCTTAGCCAGGTGCCCATGGCTCATGCCTGTAATCCTAGCTACTAAGGAGGCTGAGATCTGAGGATTGAGGTTCAAAGCCAGCTCCAGCAGGAAAATCCATGAGACTCATCTCTTAAACCATTCTTTTTCAATAAACTACTAGAAAACTAGAAGTGGCTCTGTGGCTCAAGTGGTAAACCACTCACCTTGAGTTGAAGAATGCAGGAACACTTCCCAAGCCCAGAGTTCAAGCCCCATGACCGACCCCCCCCCAAAAAAAAAAAAGATTTTAATCTTCTCAGCATTACACAAAATTGGTGACTGGTATTGGGAGGGCTTATCAAATGTCTCAGGGTCAGGTGTGTACATAGTTCATGTACAATGGAGGAAACTGTCAGGCAGTAAGGAAAGTTATCCAGGTATGGTAGCTTGTACATGATATGAAGGACCCAACCATAAGACTCCAGAAGCCTGTGCCTCTTATCTGTGATACAATTACTTTGTTTTCTTTTTTTTTAAATTTTTTATTTTTTATTGTAAAGATACTATACAGAGGGTTACAGTTACATGAGCAAGGCAATGAGTACACTTCCTATTGAGCATTGTTACCCCCTCCATTGTTTTCTCCCTACCATCCCTTCCTTCCCTCCCTACCTTCCCCGAGATTCTTTTTTTTTTTTTAAATTGTGATTAAGTGATTACATAATTTCCTGAATTTCACAGTATTGTGGAATAATGATGCTCATTTAAAGTCACAAGTTCATTCTAACTTTCCTGGAGCAAATTGTCTGTCACAGTCTATAACATATAACGGTGTACACATATACACCATACATGTGATCAGCAGCATGGGAGTATTTAGTAGTGGTTCGACCAGATGAGTGGGAGTTCTTTGTTTCTTAAGTCCTGTTAGTTTTGTCGTATCACCTAACATTTTGGATTTAGCATCCACTTACCAGGGAGACCATGTACTGTTTGTCTCTTTGCTCTTGGCTTACCTCGCTCAACATGATTCCTTCTAGCTCCATCCATTTCCCTGCAAATGCCATTATTTTGTCATTTCTAATGGCTGCATAATATTCCATTGTGTATAGATACCACAATTTTTGGATCCATTCATCTGTGGTGGGGCATCTGGGTTGTTTCCATATCCTAGCTATTGTGAACAGTGCTGCAATAAACATGGAGGTGCACGTGTCCTTGTATATTGGTTCCTGTTGTTCAGGGTAGATGCCTAGAAGTGGTATGACTGGGTCGTAAGGGAGATCAATCTTTAGCTTTCTAAGGACCCTCCAGACTGCTTTCCAAAGTGGTTGTATAAGTGTGATACAATTACTTTTAATGTTGAGATGGAGCTGAGTACTAGTAATCCTAGATACTCAGGAGGCTGTGATCTGAGGATCAGAGTTGGAAACTAGCCAGGCCATGAGACTCCTTTTTTTTTTTTTGTCAGTCATGGGTTTTGAACTCTGGGCCTGGGCGCTGACCCTGAGCTCTTCAGTCACAGCACTTCTGGTTTTCTGGTGGTTAGTTGGAGATGAAGTCTCACAGATGTTCCTGCCCGGGCTGGCTTTGAACTGTGATTTTCAGATCTCAGTTTCCTGAGTAGCCAGGATTATAGGCGTAAGCCACTGGCAAGAGACTCTTATCTACAGTTAATCACAGAAAAAAACAGAAGAGGTGCTGTGGCTAAAGCGGTGGAGCACTTGCTTTGGGGGGATAAAAAAAGTTTAGGGACAGTACCCAGGCCTAGAGTTTGAGCCCCAGGGCTAGCAAAAAAAAAAAAAAAAAAATTGAAATGGGAGCCATTGGGTTTCAGTGCTTTCATTCCAGACATGACCTACTCAGTATTCTACATATTTGTTTCTCAACCAGCTCCTATATTCATTCAAATAAAGTGGCCCATTTGAGTAGATATTTTCTCTTGAAATCCTATTAATTTCTTCTAGCCAAGTAATACTACAAAAGACATTGTGCAAGTGCCTGCAAAATGTTGCTTTCCCTTGAGGAGGGTGGGAAGGGCTCTTGGCTTCTGTTAAGCGCACAATGGAATAAATTCCAAGAGAAATTTCCCAGTGGGCATGTTGTATGAATTTCCTTCCTTCCATTTAGCTTTCACAAATTCTGCTTCCTAACATTGAAAACAGTTTCCAAGAAAAAGTTCTTGTGTGAAAAACTTTCAATGTGTTTATTATCAATTTGTTAGGGAAATTACCTTGTTTTTGCTGGGATTGTATCTTCTCCCCACCATTCTATCTATCTATCTATCTATCTATCTATCTATCTATCTATCTATCTATCTATCTATCTATCTATCTTTCTGTCTGTGTCTGTCTGTCTATCCATCGATCTATTTATCTATCTGTCTATCTATCCATCCATCCACACACATATATCTACATCTATTTTATGCAGATATAATAAATAGCATTTCAGTGTCTTCAAGGACTGTAAATTTTGATATTAATTAATTGGAATTTTGTAATGGCAATTTTTAGGTTTTGTTTTTGATGGTACTGGGGTGGTATTCACATTCTCTCTCTTGCCAGGCAGGTGATCTACCTCTTGAACCACATTCTCAGCCATCTTTTGCTTTAGTTATTTTTCAAAAAAGATTTCTGAATGGGGCTGGATTCAGACTTTGATCCCTTGACCTCTCTCTCCTGTGTAGATAGGATTAGACACATGCATCACTATGCCTAGTTTATTTATTTGTAAAGATGGTGTCTTGATAATTTTATTTTGTCCAGGCTGGCCTTGAAGTATAATCTTTATGATCTCTGGTTCCCGTAAAGCTGAGATTACTTGGTGGTTGTAGCAATTAAAAAATTATTATTATTAAGGTGATGTACAGAGGGGTTATCGTTTCATAAGTAAATTTCAAAATAAGTACATTTCTTTGGGGAGTGATGGTCACCCTTTCCTTCATTCTCTCCCAGTTTTTCCCTTCCATTCCCATCTCCAGCTTGTAGACTTCATTTTCAACATAGTGACCAGTGAGCACCACTGCTGCATTTGTTTACCCTGGTCTTAGCAGTGTTTCAAACACAAGTCTTTCCTACCAGATGTAGAATTGCTGCACACAATCCCTAGAATTGCTAGGGATCCGTAAGTATCGTCCTATAGGAGTCCATTCTAGTTAGGAGAACTAACATGGGGAATGGAAAATTAATACACCATGGCTTTGTGTTTTAGGTCCTGCGTATCACTTTCACATTTTTTGAATTGGAGCAAGCGAACAATTGTCCATATGAGTTCCTTCAGATTCACGACGGAGACTCCTCCGCAGCTTTTCCCCTTGGAAGGTTCTGTGGTTACCAGCGCCCACAGGATGTCCTCAGCAGCGACAATGCGCTCTACCTCCACCTCTCTTCTGACCATCTGAGAAACGGGAGGGGCTTCACACTGAGATGGGAAACGGAGCAGCCAGGTACGCGCATGTGCAGAGAAGCTAAACCCCAGGAGCTCATGATGCTCTCCCAGTGATGTTCTGAATGATACGGAGGGAGCCACAGATGGTACTCATTTCAATACCACATAAACCTGAAAATGGATTGGATCTCATTTTATGTTTTAAAGCTAACAAATGAGAATATGTTGGAAGGGGTTAAGATATAGCATTCTTTCTAGGCACCAGTGGTCTATGTCTGTAATCCTAGCAACTCAGGAGGCTGAGATCTGAGGGATGCAGGTTCGAAGTGAGCTCAGTCAGAAACGTTCACATGGCTTTATCTCCAATTAACCAGCAAAATGCTAGGCTGGAGACATGGCTGAAGTAAACAGTTACCCCTCCCTAGTAACTCCTGTTCCCTGTGGCAGTTTTGCTGGAATGTGGTTTGGTGAGAAGGTCTCCTGGAATGTGGCTTTGGGGCAGAACTGGTGGGACTAGCTGAAAGGCTAACAGAAAGCCCGCAAGGTGGAAATTGCACACCTGTCCTGGAGTTAAATTGCACACCTGTCCTGTCACCCCTGACTGACCTTTGACTCTCTGATGAATGACCCGATTCTTTGTGTGTGTGTGTGTGTGTGTGTGTGTGTGTGTAACCAGCTTGTATAAAACCCAGGGTTTACCCTTCCCCACAAACCAAACTCCTTTTTGGCACTGGCCAGGTTTGAGTGCCTAGCAATCAACTCCTTTATCCTCTCTTAAAAATAGTGGTAGAGTGTCAGCTATGCAAGAATAGGCCAAAAAAAGCACCAGGCCCTAAATTCAAGCCCTGATATCAGCATATATATATAATATATATATATATGTAATTTGTTGGTTGTGGGGTTTGAACTCTGGGCCTGTGCACTGCCCCTGAGGTATTCAGCTCAAGGCAAGCACTCTATCACTTGAACCACAGCAGAACTTCTGGTTTCCTGGTGGTTATTTGGAGATAAGAGTCTCATAGACTTTCATGCCTGGACTAGCTTTGAACGGCAATCCTCAGATCTCAGCCTTCTTTTTTTTATTGTGAAAATAACATACAGAGGGTTACAATTACATGGGCAAGGTAATGAGTGCATTTCTTATCAAGCATTGTTGCCTCCTCCTTTGTTTCCCCTTCACATCCCTTCCCATCTCCCCCCCCCCCCCACCAAAGTTGTAAAGTTCATTTTTGACATAACGTCTTGTACATCTCATTATTGCAGTGGGTCCATCTGTATCCCTATTTAAAAATTTTATTTTTTCCCTTCCCCTCCACATATTATACCAACATCAAATTTAGTGAAAACAGGGGTTATACCGTGGAGTAGTTAGGATTACAGGTGTTTGCCACCAGCATGCAGCTACTCTTTTTTTTGGGGAGGGGGGGGGTGGTACGGTCGTGGGGCCTGAACTCTGGGCCTGGACGCTGTCCCTCAGCTCTTCAGCTCAAGGCTAGCTCTTTACCACTTGAGCCATAGTGCCACTTCCTGCTTTTTTCTTTTTGCTTATGTGGTGCTGAGGAGTCGAACCCAGGGCCTCATGCATGCAAGGCAAGTGCTCTACCACTGAGCCACCTTCCCCGCCCTGATAATACTCATTCTCAGAAACCCTTTTAACTATAATGTTTTTATATATGAAAATTAGAGACAGCCCCACTGCATTTGCTATTAAGTCTGTGTACCTATCAGTGACATTTCTCATTCCTATCAGTTTCTTTGTTTAGTCTGATGCCACATCGGCTTGAAATCTTATAGGGAAAAATCCTATGTTTACACACCCTATATTCTTTGCATATGCATGTATACATTTTGGACTTGACATTGCACTAAATCTGTCACCATCTTAGGAAGAAGTGATCTTTCAACAATGATCCTACATATCTTTTTCCATGGATTATGTTGATTTTTTGCTCAGCTTAGTTTCAATATTCCTTGGCAATGGTTTATAGATTTCAGTGTTGAACTTCTCCATCTATCTTGACAGATGGATTTATAAATATTTAATGTTTTATGCTATGTGAAATACTAACTTTCTAAAATTTAATTTTCTCTTTAATACTAGTATGTAGAAATATAATGCATTTTACTTGGATTATGGCCCTATTGCTAAATTGATCAATTCAATTTTCTTAAAGTTTTATTAAGGATTTCATGGAAAAAGATTGAAAGTAGGGAGAAATAGAAAAAAGAATGAGAAAAACATTTTCTGTCCCCAACACAGGAAATAGGTATTTTTTTTTCAAGTATTATTTACTAGAGTTTGGACTCAGGGCCATTTCTTTCTTCCTTCCTTCCTTCCTTCCTTCCTTCCTTCCTTCCTTCCTTCCTTCCTTCCTTTCTTTCTTTCTTTCTTTCTTTCTTTTTTGTCATCCATGAGACTTAAAATCTGGGCCTGGGCTCTATCCCTCAGCTCTTCAGCTCAAGGCTTGCTCTCTACCACTTGAGCCACAGTGCCACTGCTGCTTTTCTGGTAGTTTATTGGAGAGCAGAGTCTCATGGACTTTCCTGCCCGGGCTGGCTTTGAACAGTGATTCTCGGCTCTCAGCCTCCTGAGTAGCTAGGATTATAGGCATGAGCCACCAGTTCCTGACTTCAGGACCATATACTTTCTAGGCAGGTACTCTATTGCTTGAGCCACACACTCATCCTTTTTTGTTTTCATTGTTTTTCAAAAAGGGTCTTCAGTGTTTGCCTCAGCTGGTCTGGATCACAATCTTTCTATTTACTCTTTCTGATACATGCTTCCCAATCAGCTAGGATTACTGATGTGAGTCTCCATGCCCAGCCGTTTCCATTTATCGCTGTTATTGTTGTTGTTTTGTTTTTCTGCAAATCCTGGGTTTGAACTCAGGGCCTGGACACTGTACCTGAAGTCTGTGCTCAAGGCTAGCACTCTACCTTCTGAGCCACAGTGCTACTTCTGGCCTTTTCTATTTATGTGATACTGAGGAATTGAACTCAGGCCTTCATGCATGCTAGGCAAGCACTCTACCACTAAGCCATATTCCCAGCCTATCACTGTTATTCTTTTCTTTAACTTATTGCTCCAGATTAAGCCTCCACTACAAAGCTAAGTACAAGTGATGGGTAGAGATGTCCAATAGTATATCACTGAATACTTGTTAACTATAAGATTTTGTAGACAAGTTTGATTATATCAAAAGTATTCTTTCCTCTTCTAGTTAATATTGATATAGAGAAAAATTACAAATTCAGTGTTATACAACATTAATCATCTTGTTTTGTTTCTGGTTTTATGGCCCAGAAATTTGGGAAAGTCCCACATGACTTGGCATGGACAAGTAGAGAATATTTCTTTTATGCTTCCTTTACTGGTTTTGTAAGTCTTGTTTAGAAGTTATTAATGATGATAGGTCAAATTTATCCTTTCTTCACTTGTTTTCTGATGTTTGTCAATGGATTAGAGGTTTCCTACATTTACTCTTTGCTTTCACATGAAGATCATCCAAGACATGCAGAATAAATCATTGTACAAGAAGGGTTACAGTTTTATAAGTCAGATAGAGCACATTTCCTATTGGACATGGTCACCCTTCCCTCTCTCTCCCAGTTTTTCCCTACTGTCCTCACCCACAAGTTGTATAGTTCATTTTCAACATAGTGTTTAGTGAATACCACTGCTACACTTGTTCACCCTTTGTCCCTCCATTTCTTCTTAATTTTCCAGGATATATACTGGATACCTATTTGCATTTTCCCATTCTTCTTTTCATTCATCTACTTCTTTCCCCTTTCCCCTTCCCCATCCCTTTTGAGTACCCTTTTGAGTACTTCCCTGGTGATTTATTCTATTGAATTTTGATTTTTGTTTCTCTGGGAACTTAAACTCAGGTCTCCCTGGAATCTACATTATTTACACGTACATACCACCCAACGTATTTATGAGTTTGTTAGCTAAATGTAGCTTCCACATATGAAAGAAAACATAGGATTTTTGTCTCTTTGGGCATGACTTACTTCACTGTACATTCTGAGTATCTTCACTTATAAAATGATGACTTTTGTTAAGCAACCTTGTTAAATGAAAAATATGTAGTGTTTAGTATTTCAAAATAAAAATGAAGCAGGAAACTGAAAACCTTGTTTAATTTATGAAGCTATCAAAAATGCTAATAATTATTAAGTAGATTTTTACATATAGCAGGGTATGGTATTTCTATATGAATGATAGGCAGATGTAGAGATGTTTTGTTTATGTTGTTTCCTCTTCTTTTTAGAGTGTGGAGGTATTCTGAATGGTACTTACGGTTCTATCAAGTCTCCCGGATATCCTGGGAACTACCCTCCAGGAAGAGATTGTGTTTGGCGCATCTTAACCAGCCCAGGCCTCTTGATAACATTTACTTTTGGGACCTTGAGCCTGGAAAGTCATGAGGATTGTAACAAAGACTACCTAGAGGTAAACAATTATGTTTATTTTGAAAGAACATGTCAGCACACTGAGATTTGATCATATCAATGGATGACCCAAATTTACTAGCAATAATTAGATGTGTTTCTCAAAAGCTAGCCAATGTCTATGTTATTGCTAATTATCCTCAGTTTGTTTTTTATTTCAGATTTCCATTCACATCTGGGGAACAGACTATCTTGCCTTTTCCCCTGCACCTTCTTGGTAGTCTGGAAGGAGCAGAATTTATGATTCACTAAATAATAATCATTGCCTCCAATACATATTAGAATACTTCATTCAGATCTTCAGTTGTACATACAGATTTTGCCACAACTTGACTCTGGTACTACATAAAAGAAAATAGATTAATAGTAATTGTAGCCAGACGCCAGTGGCTCACACCTGTAATCCTAGCTACTCAGGAGGCTGAGATCGTGGTTCAAAGCCAGCCTGGGCAGGACAGTTTGTGCGACTCTGTTTTTTTTTTGTTGGGGGGGGTCTGGTCGTGGGCTTGAACTCTGGGCCTGGGCGCTGTCCCTCAGCTCTTCAGCTCAAGGCTAGTGCTCTACCACTTGAGCCACAGTGCCACTTCCGGGTTTTTTTTTCTGCTTATGTGGTGCTGAGGAATGGAACCCAGGGCCTCATGAATACAAGGCAAGTGCTCTACCACTGAGCCACCTTCCCAGCCCAGTTTGTGCGACTCTGATATCCATTTAACCATCAGAAAACTGCAAGTGGCACTGTGTCTCAAATGGTAAAGTGCTAGCCTTGTGCTGAAGTGCTCAGGGACGGTGCCCAGGCCCAGAGTTCAAGCCCCATAACTGAGAAGAAAAAAAAATAGTAATTTTGTTGGAATCTCAGGAAAATATTTTGGGAATTGTCATTTGGAGGAAAGTTGCCAGTCTGAGTCCCTCTCGACTCCCAAAATGAAAGGTTAGAACATAGAGCAGGGAAAATCCTTTTATATCTGATGCCATATGCATAATGATACATAAAAATAATGCTCTCCCAGGGCTGGGAAGATGGCTTAGTAGTAGAGTGCTTGCCTAGCATGCATGAAGCCCTGGTTTGATTTCTCAGTACCACATACAGAGAAAAAGCTGGAAGTGGTACTGTGGCTCAAGTGGTAGCGTGCTAGCCTTGAGCAAAAGAAGGGATAGTACTCAGGCCCTGAGTTCAAGCCCCAGAACTGGCAAAAACAAAATAATGCTCTCCTTTTGTTGACAGAAAATATCATTGAGGAGATTGATTGTTCTTGATATATTTTTGGTTAGCATAAGTCTCAGTACATCATAGGAGTGCTAAAAAAACAATAAGCTCTTCTGATTCCCGTTAGAGAAGGAAAGCGTGCTGTGGAATTATTCATAAAGGATTGAAGGATGCAGCTGTCAAGCAGGGTCTCCACAAGTTGAAATTATTAATATTTCAGTAGTGGTAATAATGGATTTTGAAACCTTTGGGAATGACTTTTCAATCTTCCGATTGTCTCTTCTTGGAAAATTTTAGCAAAATAACCTTTTACATGTTGATAGTGAAAAGTGAGTTATCTTGAAACTCATATTCAGTAAATTCTATCAAGTTAAAATTTGCTTTTTTTATTTCTATATATTAATATCTGGATATAAAGTGCCAATCATTCTGACAACATTCAAATGTCTCTCATTTCTCATCAAGCTACATTATTCAATGAACTAGTTAAATACAGGAATAAATGCTATCTTGTACTTTTGCTATTAATTGGGAAAAGTTATTAGAAGGAGTTGATCATATTAAAAACCTTCTTTAGTTCATTCAGTCTGGTTTTATTATGCAGTATATTTAGGCTTTGCAATTAGAACAAAACTATAGAGACGTTCGTGATTATTATTAATTTTTTGTTTTTGTTTCTGTTTTTTTTTTTTTTTTTGCCAGTCCTGGGTTTTGAACTCAGGGCCTAGGCACTGTCCCTGAGCTTCTTTTGTTCAAGGCTAGCACTATCACTTGAACCATAGGCCATTTCTGGCTTTTTCTGTTTATGTGGTACTGAGGAATTGAATCCAGGGCTTCATGAATGCTTAAGCATGCACTCTACCTCTAAGCCACATTATCAGCCCTTCACGTGATTATTAAATAAATGAAAGTCAATAATGAAAAATTCTTTCTTGTTGCCCGGTGCTGGTGGTTCATGCCTATAAAACTACTTAGGAGGCTGAGATCTGAGGAAGCCAGCCTAGGCAGGAAAGGCTGTAAGACTTTTATCTCCAATTAACCACCGAAAACTGGAAGTGGAGCTTGTCTAAAGTGGTAGAGCACTAGCCTTGAGCTTAAGAACTGAGGGACAGTGCCAGGCCCAAACTTTAAGCCCCATGACCAACACCCCCCCCCCCCCCACCAAAAAGTAATTCTTATTGATGTTGTTTTTGTGCTAGTAGTGGGGCTTGAACTCAGGGCCTTGTGCAACTTGGGTGCTGGTGTCTCATGCCTATAATCTTAGCTACTCAGGAGGCTGAGATCTGAGGATTGTGGTTCAAAGCCGGTTGGGAAGGAAAGTCCATGAGACTCTTATCTCCAATTAACCACCAGAAAACCAGAAGTGTCACTGTGGCTCAAGTGGTAGCGTACGAGCCTTGAGCTGAAGAGCTGAGGGACAGCACTCAGGCCCAGAGTTCAAGCCCCACAACTGACCCCCCCCCCCCCCAAAAAAAAGAAAACCTACAACTTTCTAAGATTTCTGCTGTTATTCTGTGGTTCTTTATTGGTATTGAAGTTGTACTTTTAAAATTTCATTCCACTCCTTAGGGCATCTTTGTTCTGTGTCTAATATGACTATACTTCCTTTTTTTCCACGATCCTCCTGAGCATCTAGACTGAATTGTGAATCAATTGAGATCACTAGAAGTTCCTTGTCAACTTCCTTTTCTATGCATCCATCTTCTGTTAGATCAAAATGAATATCTGGGGGAGTAACACCTCAGAAATGAACCTCAGACAGCACTGTGATCAAGATCATGGGAGGACTAAGAATGTGGTTTAGTGGTAGAGCGCTGGCTTAGCATGCATGAAGCCTGGGGTTTCATTCCTCAGTACCACATGAACAGAAAAAGCCAGAAGTGGTGCTGTGGCTCAAGTGGTAGAGTGCTAGCCTTGAGCAAAAGAAACTCAGGGACAGTGCCCAGGCCCTGAGTTCAAGCACCAAGACTGACAAAAAAAATCATGAGAAAAACCCCAAATATATGCCCAGCCTCAAAATTGCAATCCTGATAGTACGGACAGGCATCTGTGTTGATGCAAGAAGGCCACGACTTTCAGGGAACTCACCTGGTGTGTGTGCAGGACAAGGAAACTTCTGAGAGACATCACTTTTCTATAATAGGTTTTCTGCAGTTCGTCTACAAAACAACCTGTTGTTGTTGTTTTAATAGGACTTGGCCTCTTTGACTTGAATGACTCAACTCTTGTGTTTTAGATCCGAGATGGTCCTTTGCCTCAGGACCCAGTTCTTGGGAAATACTGCACCACTCTCTCTGTTCCACCACTCAAGACGACCGGTCCCTTTGCCAGAATTCATTTCCATTCTGACACCCAGATTAGCGACCAAGGCTTCCACATCACCTACCTGACATCACCTGGTAAGTAACCTGCCAATTGGGAGTTTGCTGTGCATTTAGAAGGGCAATGCTATCTTTCTAGCTGTCTTCTATTAGACCCATGTCATGTGTGTTTATAAATATTTTTCTTATAACTCCAGATTCTTTTTAATCTTCTAGTACCCCATTAGTAAGACTAAAATGCCCCTTGGTCCCTAAAGAATGGAATCCACATTATGAGGCACCAAAAAACTAAGTCAGTTCCCTAGTGGTGTTTGATATTTTGCGGTAGGAGTGGTCATTGATGTCTAGAGATGTGTCTGACTTGACTGTTGGATCAAATCCAACTGCACAGAAGCTTGCTTCCAGAATGGCAGGGTCTTGGTCCCTGGAGCTCATTTCCAGTGAAATGCTGTTAGCTATGATTTCTTCAGTTGTCTTGATGCCTTAAAACCAACACAAAACAAAACAAATGAAATGCTCTATGATTTCCATGTAAGAGATACAGAGAATTTTGTTCATGTAGTCCATGATCATGTTTTTAATGAAAATTTATATGAACAATACTTATGAAGTCTCAGTATAAGGAAAACTATATAGTTACATATTTTATTTTGCTATGTTATTTTTGTATTAAATACAGTAAATCTTTTCAGAATAAATCAGAGCATTCATGTATTTTAAAAGTAATTTATAGAATAGAGCAGAACAGAAGAGAACATCTCTTTCTTTCTTTCTCTTTCTTCCTTTCTTCCTTTCTTTCCTCTCTTTCTTTCTCCCTCCCTCCCTCTCTTCCTTCCTTCCTTCCTTCCTTCCTTCCTTCTTTCCGGGCCCTGGTACTCTCCCTGAGCTCTTTAGTGCAAGGCTAGTACTCTACCACTTGAGCTACAGTGCCACTTCCAGTGTTTTTGGTGGTTAATTGGAGATAAGAGATTCACAGACTTTCCTTCCCAGGCTGGCATCTAACCATGATCCTCAGATCTCAGCCTCCTAAGTAGCTAGGATTACAGGTGTGAGCCACCAGTGCCTGGCTCTACATCTATTTCTTTAGGCTTCAAGGATGCCTTACATATAATGTCAAACTAAAACTATCTCATAATGAGGAGCACAAGCCTAAGCAGGGTGAATAAAGTGTGTATGTGATCTATTATTGTGTGTGCAAATTTCTCTAATACTAGATCCAAATGGGAGCCAGAGGAATGCCATCCGTGTGACCTTTCTTTTCTTCTCCATTCTCCTTAGCCGATCTGCAATGTGGAGGGAGCTACACAAACCCAGAGGGCGAGATCCTCCTTTCTGACTTCTCTGGGCCTCTGGCCCACGGTGGTCAATGTATCTATACCATAACCCTGCCTCCAGGAGAGCAAATCGACCTCAACTTCACCCATGTGGAGCTGGAAGGCCAGAATGGATGCTCTCATAGTTACATCGAGGTAACTTTTTCTAATCAATTCTTAGAATTCTTCATTAACATTTTTCTATTCTTCATAGTCTTCAAATGGCTTTTAGGCCAATAACATCAAGATCTTGTAAAAAAAAAAAAAAGCCATTTTATACTCTATCCTAGCCCTGCTGAATCAACCGATGGAGGTTTTTCTGACCGTGGAGGTTGGAATAATTGTAGAACCACTCTAGAACAGTGGTTCTAGAGAATTTGAAGTGAATCTCTAAAACAGATGTAAAGAAGGTAACACAAGAGATTGATCATATCAAAAACATTCTTTGGTTCACTAAGTCCCAATTATCAAGGTGCATGCAGGTAAATAAGGATAATAGGCTCTAATAACAGGCAAAAGATTTCAGAGTTTACCTGGGATACTTGTCCTAATTGAGGGGATTCAACCTGGAGAAACTAGGAGATTTTCACACATGGCTCAGCAAGTCAGTGACAGAGTGATAGGAAAGTGTGCGATGTCGCTTGTGTGAATATATTTAACCTCATTCATTCATTATCCCTGCTAGCTAGCTCACCTTCAGAACATGCTCACTTTGATTTCAGTTTGTAATGCTCATAATATGAGAATATCTAAAGCAATCAACAGGCTGCTTTTTGTTCATTGGTCTTGGCATTTCTTTTCTGCTTAATTATTAGTCAAGCCACAAATTAGAGTGGAGAGCAAGATAAGCAAACTTCTCTTTGTTGGTCTCAATCATTTTTACATAAACTCAGAGAATCATTTACAATTCTGTTTGCTCATGATGGTCAGTTATTTGATTTTCCAGAAAAGTCTATATAAACTCCTGATCTGTGTCTTGAATTTAGACAGAGGAGACATAGAACTTTAATATATAATCTGGGCTTTATAGAAGCACAGAAGTGCTAACTATGCACATCTAATACCTTCAGTCATATGCTGATTGCTGCCAAGTTTGGTAATTTCTTTACCTAATTTTTATTTCATCATCACAAAACCATTATTATTCTCTCCTTTTTGTGTGTGCTGGGACTTGAACTCAGGGCCAGGACACTACCCCTGAGCTTTATCACTCAAAGCTAGTGCTCTACCACTATCTGCTTCTGCTTTTTATGAGTAATTGGAGATAAGAGTCTTCTGAACTGATAAGGGGATCTTGAGAAATTAAGAATTATTGTGATGGGATGTATTTTTCTGCCAAGCAGTGATTTCATTTTTAAAAGTGTTACTTAAAAAGTGAAATGGTTAGGCAGAGGAATAAAAGATGTTTTTCTTGAGGTATTTTGGTGGTTCAAAGTAGAGGTGACTTTGACATTCACAAACTAAATTTAACCAGAGAAAGTGTGCTTTCTCACCCCAAACTTGAAAGAATGGGGAACTCAGAGCAATAGGGAAGACCCAAGAAGAACTTTTCTTCTGAGCATGAGTAGATGCACTCCAAAGAATCCTGGTTCTCATTTTGCTATTGCTTTCTTGCCAGGCAAGCATATTTTTTAGATGAAAATTAAGATCCCACTGCCTAATGTATAGGTTTCATATACAGTGTGGTTTGAAAGACATTCCTTTTGCTCAGTAAAAGAGAAACTCATAAGTGTACATTTGAGAATAAAATTTAAGTATGAAAAATTATGGGTTTCATGTTTTCAAGACCCAGAACTCTGGGCCTGGGTGCTGTCCCTCAACACTTCAGCTGTAGACTAGCGCTCTACCACTTGAGCCTCAGCCCCACTTCTGGTTTTTTCTGCTTATGTGGTGCTGAGGAATCAAACCCAGGGGCTCATGCATGCAAGGCAAGCACTCTACCACTGAGCTACCTTCCCAGCCCCATAAGAACCATATTTCTTTAAAAGAAAAATCCTGCACAAGAGAAAGTAAACATTTGCATGGTATTTATCTTTTCCAGCTCAAGTTTTTCTTTTTTTTTTTTTTGGTCCGGTCGTGGGGCCTGAACTCTGGACTTGGGTGCTGTCCCTCAGCTCTTCAGCTAAAGGCTAGCGCTCTACTACTTGAGCCACAGTGCCACTTCCGACGTTTTTCTTTTTGCTTATGTGGTGCTGAGGAATCGAAACCAGGGCCTCAGGCATGCAAGGCAAGCTCTCTACCACTGAGCCACCTTCCCAGCCCTCAAGTTTTTCTTTTAAAAACAAGTATTGCTAATAGAGCACATGGTATGGCTCCATAAGAATGAATAGAAAAAGAGATCAATTCCTGGTTCATCTGTTTTATCCAAGAGTTTATAAATTGTGTGGAACAGTTCACTGGATGTAACAGGATCATCTTTCCAGAATATAAAACAGTGCCTCCTCATGAAAACTTCATAAGTTATTTAAGCCATTAGTACCCTAGGTGAAGGACATATATGAGATTGTAATGGAAGCTTTATTTTTCTTTCCAGAATGTTCAAATTGTAAGCTAAATAATAAAGTCTGGAGTTTCTATGATGTTAATGCTTGGGATAAGATGGACTGTCCATCTTACCAGCTATGTACCTCTTTTTTTTTTTGGTTGGTCATGGGGCTTGAATTCTGGGCCTGAGCACTGTCCCTGAGCTCTTCAGCTCAAAGCAAGCAGCCTACCACTTGAGCCACAATGTCACTTTTGGTTTTCTGATGGCTAATTGGAGATAAGACTATCACGGACTTTCCTGCCTGGGCTGGCTTTGAACTGGGATCCTCAGGTCTCAGCCTCCTGAGTAGTTGTAATACAGGCGTGAGGCACCAGCACCCAGCCCAGCCATATACCTCTTGCTCCATCCACTCTAGGGGCCTGAGGTGGGAACATCACAGGACAGGATAATGTGGGAGGGACATGCTTTGTGGAGAAATCAGAGGACTTCTGGGAAAGTTGTTTCCTCTCTCCTACATGAGGAACAACAAAGTAGATGACAGAAAAGTTTTAAAATGTAGTAAGATAGGTTGTAGTAAGTTACATTGAAGATGTTCCTGCACTCTGGGGAATATACCTATTCTGTGTTACTAAAGGCAAGATACTTACATGTAAGCCGGTTGCCGGTGGCTCACACCTGTAATCCTAGCTTCTCAAAAGGCTGTTATCTGACGATTGAGGTTCAAAGTCAACCAAGGCAGAAACATCAGGGAGACTCTTAGCTACAATTAACTACCAGAAAACCAGAAGCAGTGCTGTGGCTCAAAGTGGTAGAGAACTCACCTTGAGCTGAAGAGCTCAGGGACAGAGCCCAGGCCCAGAGTTCAAGCCTCATGACTGATTAAAAAAAAAAAGATACTAATATGTATAAGCCTATTTCCTCTTTAGTGGAAGGGATAGTAACACCACACTTCTGAAAGGGGCTTGTTATACAAAATAGAGGTTAAAATAGTTAAGTGTAATTTACTTGAAATATGATATACAACCCTAATTTCATGGGCTTGATCATGGTATTTCCTCATAATTTTCAGTACCATGCAGGAAAGAAGTAGGACTCAGACAGAAAACAATAGAGCTACTGCCTTTAGTCCTGTCATGAGTGGTCTGAGATAAAATCACTGGGATATTGTGCACTGGGTCTGCAGGTGAGGACTTAGCAATACAAAGATCCAAGAGAAAGGATACCAGATAGACATTCCAACACCACCCAGAGAGAGAACAGAGATGAAAATCTGATAAACTCAAAGAATCAAACATACATTACAGTGGCTATAGTCACAAAGGAGACAAATGTATGAGGCAGGAGCTTTATCCCATGAAACCTAATAGGCCAAGAGAAAGCGTTTGGATTATATCTTAGATTATCATGAAGGTGACAAATTGGGAGTTTACAATCACGAAGGAAGACACTTCTCAGTAAGTCTCCTTGATTTCAGAAAAATCAGCTTTCAAACACCAGGGGAAGGATAACTTAATTTGTGCAGATATTAGAACAGCATTTTCAAGAGACCTAAAATGCTTTGTAATTGTTTTTTTTTTTTTAGTTTTTTTTTTTTTTTTTTTTGGTCGTGGGGCTTGAACTCTGGGCTTGGCTGCTGTCCTTGTGCTCTTCAGCTCAAGGCCAGCGCTCTACCGCTTGAACCACAGCACCACTTCTGGTTTTCTAGCAGTTTATTGGAGATAAGAGTCTCACGAACTTTCCCACCTGGACTGGCTTTGAATCGCTATCCTCAGATCTCAGCCTCCCGAGTAGCTAGGATTACAGGCGTGAGCCACGGGCGCCTGGCAATGGTTTGTAATTGTAAACCAAACTAATGAAGAGCAAAGGGCATGAAGGTGTACACTTGTGTTCCCAATTACTCAGCAGGTGAAGGTCGTGGGATCACTTTTAGGGTGGCAACATCAGGAGATCGTACCTCAAAAATACAACAGACAAAAGGAATTGGGGTGTGAGTTCAAGCACCAGTACGTAAAAAAAATTGCCAAGGGAAATAATCAAAAACTACAATTTTCCAATACTATGTAGTTTCTCTCATCTTCTATTCCATATCCCTTATTTTCTCATTTGGGATGAGATTTCATTCTTCTCCCCTTAACTCTTGACTAGCCAAAGAATAGTTGCCAGTTTTCAATACCAGATTTTTGCTTCAGTTAGGGGTGTGTCAGCCTGAAACTCAGCTGGCAGGCCGCCACATGTTAAGTACTACCATATGAGGTTCTGCTTCATTCAGCTTTTGGATTGGACCAGGATTATTGTCAGCCTATTCGGTTTGTTAGCTTGGGAGTTAAATGTTAACGCTTAAAGTGAATTTTAGCAATTGTAATAAACAAAACCAAACCAAATCTGGAGTCACCGCATGCAAATGCATGAACACACATGTGAAGGCGTGGCTTTGAGTGCGGACCCATTCCAGATGTTCAAGCTCACCGCTTGCTAGGCGTTAGATCTTGTGCCTCAATTTTCATTTAAATTATGCCTTTCAGCCCCATTAATTTTAGCTCTTCAAACGGGAAAATCATTCCTTAACAAGAACCAGGAGGTTTTTGTTTGTTTTGTTTTGTTTTTAGCCAGTCCTGGGGCTTGAACTAAAGGCTTGGGCACCGTCCCTGAGCTTCTTTTGCTCAAGGCTAGC